TCTCTCTCTCTCTCTCTCTCTCTCTCTCCTTATCCCTTAATCCGCAATCGTATCCACAATAATCTATCAATAATAATAATAATCGTACAAATCATAGAAACTGTGTTGACAAAACCTGATCGCAGAAAGGCTCTAGATCTGTCTATCAATTTACCTGGGAGTTTGTATTCAACTGTTCATCTAAATTTCCATATGAATGACGTTTGTTTTGTAACATTTCATACTTTGCAGATAATCCTGAACTCGATGCATCGGTATCAACCGCGGTGTCACGTTGTGGTGGCACCCTCGCCACCAGGTTCAGCGCCTGATCCACGCACGGAGAATTTCAAAACGTTCACGTTCCCGGAGACGCGGTTCACCGCGGTGACGGCTTACCAAAACCATCGTATCACCCAGCTGAAGATCGCTAGCAATCCATTCGCCAAGGGTTTCCGCGACTGTGAGTCGGACGAGTGCGACTCTGTCGCGGTCACGAGCATGCAGAATCCTGCGAAAAGGCCTGCAACAGGGAGCACCAGCGTTTTGACGTCGAACTACGTGAACACGATACCCACCGTGCAGATTCCAAGCATAACCAGCCAGGAGCATCATCAGTTTTATGGCACCACCGCGGCTGGACCATGGACTTATCCTGGACACCATGGGCAACCAACAGCGCACATGAACTCCGTCCACTATCCTGCGCATCCTCATCATCCTCACACTGGACCGTCGCTGTACGGACCACGGTAACTCGGATCTCTCTCTCTCTCTCTCTCTCTTTCATTCGAGAATTCTCAAACAATTTGGATGAAATTGTGATTTTGATTGACGGGAGTAGATTTTTTTCTTTTTTTTTTTTTTTTTTTTGGCTTGTTAACACATTGTTGACCGGGGCTTTCTTTTTGTAGAAACGCGTGTGGCGACTTTTGACCTAAAAGTGACAAAAAATAAGTTGTGTAAGTCACTTGAATAACACTTTCCACAAACTGAGAATTTCACAAAATTCCAATTCAAATATCGTCTAGTGGGCATCAATCAAACTGTATAGTATCCAGTTATCAATTAATCAGAAGACGGTACCCGGTCAATAATGTATTAAAAAATTGTTCGATGGAAATATTTATCAGTATAATGTTTGACGCCAAAGTTAATATATGTAACAACATGATAGAAGATAAGTGTTGCACACAGTACAAGTTTAAAAACCGTGCCTTAATAACATAAGAAACATTTGAAAAAGTTATATATGCCAAAGATGATGCCAATTAATTTGTTTAAGTATTGTCACATAAGTTATATATACCTATATTTGTGTAAATAAGATATAAAGAAAAATTGTGACTTGAGAACAATGAGTGATGTATGATCCATAATTTTTTTCGACGCAGGATCCTTAGGTAAATGTTGAGTTGT